GCCCTTGAGCAAGGCACCGAACCCCAACTGCTCCCCGGGCGCCGCAGCATAAATGGCTGCCCACTGCTCCGGGTGTGTGTTCACGGTTTGTGTGTGTTCACTGCTGTGTGTGTGCACTTTGGATGGGTAAATGCAGAGCACTAATTCCGAGTATGGGTCACCATACTTGGCCACACGTCACTTCACCTTTTTTTTTTTTTATTTGGCTGAGATACAACTATTTGAAAATCTGGAATCTGAGGGTGCAAAAAAAATCTAAATACTGAGAAAATCACCTTTAAAGTTGTCCAAATGAAGTTCTTAGCAATGCATATTACTAATCAAAAATTAAGTTTTGATATATTTACAGTAGTAAATTTACAAAATATCTTCATGGAACATGATCTTTACTTAATATCCTAATGATTTTTGGCATAAAAGAAAAATTTATAATTTTGACCCATACAATGTATTTTTGGCTATTGCTACAAATATACCCCCCAGTGACGTGAGACTGGTTTTGTGGTCCAGGGTCACATATATTAAAACTATATAGAAATATTCATACAAAAACTAATAAAAATGACAAAAGCACAACAAAACTACTAAAACTTAAATGAAAATAAACTAAACTGCAAATATAATATTTTAAATTAGTATTTATATTTTTGATTTGTATATCAAAATATAAAAAAATATTTGGAAAAATGCTAAATAGTATTAAATGATATGTGTAGAAGTATAAAAATAATACTAAAATAACCCTCTCTCAATGCCTCGATTACACATGCTCTCATGTTTTCTTTCTCTTCATATTTAAAAAAAAAAAGTCTGAAAAGCAGCATTTCAAGAAATTTAGGGCTTCTTGCACATTCTTACAACTAGTGATGAATTAACAAATGTATGAGATGTCCCGTTGGTTATGATCCTCACCGTTACCGAAGACAGCTCTGATGAGTTTGATGTAGGCCTTATCCAGATCACCCCGTCTTTCTGCATTTCGGAAAATAGCCTCAGCTAGCTTAGCAAACTCCTCAAAGCCGGTGACAAACGGCAGGATGCCCACTTTACTCTTCTTCGAAATCTTCACCTCCTCCATCTGACGAATCTGTCCAGACTACAAGAGCAACAGAAACATCAGAAGATTGGTTTGTTGGTCTCGCCATCAATACATCAAACTATGCATGACATGAGTTTCACTTACAATGCATTTATCAAAGTTTCTCTTGACAGTGACTAGCACATTGCCCAGCGTTGTGCTGAGATAGGATGCAGGATCAACATTTTGGGCCGTCCAGACGTGGTGACTCATCTTTACCAGCATGTAGAGAGAGTTGAAGCTGTCTATCTTATCAACTAAAGCTATCAGACTGTTCAGCTCTGTCTCAATGCTCTGAAAGATCTTATTCATCATCATCCGAACCATGTCCTTTCTGCAAGAGAAATGGATGTATGATCATTTTTTATGATCTGCTTAAAAACAGATTTGTAAGAACTAAGAGAACGGTCACTCACTCAGATATTGAATGTCTGTTTTCAGTGAGGAGTCTGGAGTGAACCGTTCCATCGCTGTCATCCACATTCTCTACCTAATTAGGGATTTATAACATCATTAAATCACACATAATAAATACAATACACACATAGATCTGAGTCTGGATTGTATCTGATACTAACCTGAGCTAGTGTGGGATTTTGCTGCAGTTTGAAGAACTTGCTGATAAAGTCCTGTTCAGCCAGACACAGTGGCTCTAGCTCACTCAAAACCTGCTCAAAAATCTAGAAAACAACACAAAGAATGGGCATATGTACACTATCATTCAAAAGTGTAGGGTTAGCAAGATTTAATGCTCACCAAGGCTGCATTTAAAATATAGTAAAAACAGTAATATTGTGAAATATTATTACAATTTAAAATGACTATTTTCTATTTGAATATATTTAATATGTAATTTACTCCTGTGATGCCAAAGGTGAACTTTCAGCAGGCATTACACCACTTATCAGTGTCACATGATCCTTCAGAAATCATTCAAATAATAAGTCTAATCAAACTATTACTTTTGATTAAATTAATGCATGAATAAAAGTATTACATTTCGTACATCACTGTATATGATTATACTTTGCACAACAAATTTCAGAATTTAGTCACATTTCAAGTGACAATTTAGAACCAATCAGCATCTTTAAATTGGGCCGAAACAATCCCCAAGTTTTAGCGGTGGCGCACCTTATCAAACCTGGTCCTGTCTGCTACGTCCAGGTCAGAGGCAGACATGTTGCCCATATCAAGCAGAGAAGATGACTGAGAGCGCCTACTGTTGGAGCTGCTCACAGCGAGTTTATTCAGACTTGACGTGGAGCCTGTAAGCTTCCCAGAGCTCCCATGCAGACCTGGAGAGACCATCAGAGGAGAAACCATCAGAACATGAACTGGATATAAAACATACAAGGCAGATGTACTTCATTTACATTACAATCACCTTTCTATATGCTTACCTTTTAAAGTACATGTTGATCTGAAAGGGAGGTCATAACATGCATGCAACCCTTTACGACAAGATTAAATAATCCCCCCCCCCCTCCCCTCCCCTCCTTTAACCACTGATGCATTAACATTTTAATATCTGATGAATCAGTAGACATGTTTGAGGTTAGTTTTGATTGAGAAAAAGTGAATAAGGTTAGATGAAATCCATAAAACGGTGCATGTAACAAGCTTAAAGGGGTCATATGATGTTACTAAAAAAGAACATTATTTTGTGTATTTGGTGTAATGAAATGTGTTTATGTGGTTTAAGGTTAAAAAACACTATTTTCCACATATTGTACATTATTGTTTCTCCTCTATGCCCCGCTTTTCTGAAACGCATTTTTTTTTTAGTTTTTTTTTTACTTAACACAAAGTCTTAATGTGACGCTAATGTTGTGGGGAAAAATGCCCACCCCTAGTTTCCAAAAATATATAAATGATACGATATAAATACAATTTCTATACATATTTAATACATCTAAAAATACAGAAAAATTGACCAACCCCAAACTTGTCCCCAGTCCCTCTTTATACCATTTGCAAGTATTTTGTGAGATGCACTACATTGTTCTAAACATCCTGAAATCTTATGTATTCAGGGGTTTTTTCCCCACAGAATATTTTGGTTGTCATGCATCTAGTATGCATTTAATGCCATGTGTAATAGTACACACACTGTGAGCCTTGCAGCACATGTCAAGACATTACAATGAAAACGTGACTATGCACACCATCATATCAGAAACAAGCAATGATTGACATCTCAATGATTTTACTTGAGAATTATGTTGGATACTTTCAACTCAGCTCTATTGAAACTATGTGTTTGACACGTAGTGTAAAATTAGTGCAAAAAAATAAAAAAACACATTACAAACGGCGCACACACACACAGACAATACACAACATAGCACAAGACATACAGTGACTGAGAGTTGGTTTCCTGATAAACAAACTTAAAAAAAAAAATTTAAGATCTTACCAAATTTTCCTTTCCCATCCTTACTAGTGCCTGCCATTTTGATCTTTGCCACTTCAAAGAAGTCCTTAATTTCCCGCTCATACAATCGGGTCATGTAATCCACATAGGTCTGTAAAAAAAAAAAAAAGGGAGGACTAGGAATTTTGTCCAAATTTAGATTTTTTTTATTTGTCAGCAATTTTCTCATTTAGAGGAAGGTAGAAAGATCACAGGAAATGAGACAGCGGGAACATTACTGGGAACTGGACACAAATCAAATTTGTCAAGAGTACACACAGCAACATCCAGGCCAAGTCTGCCATCACATTTGGATTTTAAAGACAGTTTAATAATAGAGAGCAGAGATAAATACATCTAAAACATTTGGGAATCACATTAGCATTGGGTGATGATCAGAAAAGGACTAATCGCTCCGACTAAACCCTTAAATATGGTCTTGCCCCTGAATTTATTGAGTCTAATGTTTGTAGAATAACATTAGCAGTACTATTAAGTCTGAGCAAAGCTAAAATTAAATATAACTGCTATTTTCCTTCGCTAAGACATTGCCATTTCTAAAGGAAAGCCATTGGCTCTCAGGATATCAGGATAATATATTGCAGCATTATTATGATGGCATTTTAATGGTTGCTGTAACTGACTGGTGTTGGTGATTATAACTGTTAAACTGTTAAAACATATAATGCTTTAAAACATACAGCAATAATGGGACTGATTGTCTTATTAAAGGTACACTGTAACTTTTTTGTTCAAAATAAAAAATGATATAATGATATAATACATCATGAAACCATCTTTCAAATGTGTTTTATCTTATCCTGATTTGTATGTAACACCTACTTTTTTCCAAGCAAATTAAATAAAGTCCCACCCTATATTTTTCTAATTAAACATTCTGTTTTTGTCCTTGACTTTTGTCACACAGTTCATCGATTAGGGTTTCCATTCACTTTTATGACTTTATCAAGATGGAACAATTTGTACAAACGTGACTGAATGCTTTCAAACCTTAATGTTATCTGACATGTGTCATGATAACATTTACTGTGATAATCAATGCAATGTGATGGAAGTCATAAACACTTACCCTGGAAAGACCCTCATATTTCTCTCTCTGGGTGTTTTTCAGCCACTCCATGAGTTTGGCGTATCTGAGCAGGTCTCTGTGCAGAGGGCTGTGTTTGGGTAGTGTCAGCTCAGCTGTGTGCTGGGACAGTGTGGAGCTCTGATCGTGTCCCTACACACACAAACACACAGACACACTCAGTGAGTGGAAACTCAGTATGAGAAAAGTTCACTGTCCAAGCAAGTTAATATTAAGGAACACACACACTTTTACTCTCACATAGGGCTGGGTAAAAATACAGATTTTCCAAATAATCTTCATTTGGTGAATTTGGTGTTTGTTTGCTTTACGACTTTTTTTTTTTTTTAGTGGCTGTGTTAAAACATTTTACAAATCTTATTTTACATTTGTGATGTGAACATCTGTTCGCAATCTGTATTGAATGTGATGCAACTGGTACCGCAAAATAATGGCAAAAAACACCTTTCCATTGAGTGGGCCTTAGCAGGTTGAATGCAAAATGATATGGGGGAAAAAATGACTTTTTTAAACCGGTTCTTTTTAGTATAACAAAAAAATACAAAGTGAACAGAGCAGTCTGATCCATGAACAAATGACACTTATGAACTGGTTCTTTTTAGTACATCGAAAATAGTGGTCGGCCGACATTGTTTTTTTTTTGACAGCTGATGCAAATATCTATGTGTGTATATGTATGTATATTTATACTGCATATACATATATATATATATATATATATATATATATATATATATATATATATATATATATATATACACACACACAGGTATACACATATACATACACATGCAGTATATATATATAATTAATATACAATACATACACATCTATAATTAATTCATTTTCAAATTATTTCAGATTTCTTAAATATGAATTCAAATTATTATATATTATAATATTAATTAATATTTAAGAAAATTTAAATAATTTGAAAATTAATTTAAAAAATGTGTCAAATAAACATACTTATACTTTAGATGACAACTCCTTGATTCTGCAATCCTATTAGGGTATTTTTCACAAATAAATACATATTTAAAAAAATATATAAATAAAAAGGAAGTAAACACTGTAACCAACAGAGCACTCTGTAATCTGGGAAGTTTGTGTGCATTGAGAATCATATTTTTTTCAAATAAAGCCAAGGTAACACTCAATACGGCAAACAGAGAAAATGACACGAATATGATAGTGGGCAAATGAACAAAGCGCAGCATAGTTTGAAATCACAAATTTACATTTTTTAGTTGGTCGATTGTCATACAGCGTGACCGGTGTAGTCTGATTCATGAACAAATGACTCTTATGAACCAGCTCTTTAGTGAATCAACAGCATACAGCATGACCAGTGAGGTCTGATTTACAAACAAATTACTATGAACTGGCTCTTTTCAGTTAACTAAAAACATACAGTACAACCAGTGTAGCCTGATTCTAAAGGCGTTTAATGAATAGTTAAAAAAAATACAAGTTACTCAGTGAATCAGTCTAAAACACTGTCCTGTATACCAGCATTAGCAGAAAGAGAATATCTCTCCACATGGAAGAGAAAATAGACATCATTATGGAGGCATATCGAGAGTTTGTTCATTAGAATTAAATCGAATCAGGAAATCTGTATAAACACCCAGCCCTACTCCCACACAAAAGGTCGCTGTTATATTACAGTGACACCAAGCTCAAACAGTAATTAGTCGAGCAAAAATCACCAAGCCTCATGAATCTATGAACAATGCCACCAAACCAACAGTAGTGCTATTCTCACAGTCAAGCAGTTCCTTCTAAATGCATCTATGAAACATCCACATCATAAGAGCAAACACTGCAGGAACTGCATGCTGATCAGGCCATGTCTTCTCACGAGCACCCCACAATTCCATTGGAGAGTGAGCAAAACAAGGCAATGAAGACCCCTTTAAATCTTCAGGGGACAAAATCAACAGAGAATCATGTTGGCTGGGAGGTTTATGGGGCGATCATCTTAGAAACCCTAAGATGAGAATGTCTGGTTTACATCACCATGAACATGCTTAAATGGAATGTTTTCATGAAGAGAGAGAAGCATTGATGAGACAGTTAGGTCTAAGGAAGTGGAGTTGCGTGACTGTTAGAGTGGGCGGGTCAAACAGGGTGCTGGAGTGGGCGTACTCACAGGGAGTGACAGACAGGACGACCTATAGAACTGAGGGATGGTCATTTTGAAGTGACTGAAGTGGTTGAACTGACAGAGGAACAGAGAGCACAGTGAAGTAAAGTGATATAGAGAGACACGACTGGTGGCCAAACAGGAACACAGGAGAAAGAATCAATCACAGAGAGGCAGATAAAGACTCGTAGGAAAAGGAAAGAAAGCCTAATACTCCTTATATATGTAAGCTGTACGTGTTCTTTACCTGTAACGTGTGTAATAATGTTACCTGGTGCACAAAAACGTTGTTGAGGTGGTTGGTGAGACGTCGGGCAAAAGTGTCTCTGAGCTCAGAAAACAGATGCTGCTGCTGCTTGACTGCCATCAGCTTATCATGGCCTGTTACAGAACATCACACAAACATGATTAATGCTGCTCATGCACACCTCTAAGTGCTGTTTTCAGTCAGTGGGTGAAGTTTGAGAGCAGTACCTGGTTTGAGTGCCACGTTCATGCACTGTGACAGAGCCTCAGACGCGTTGATGCAGGCCTCGATACCCTTAGGAGAAGACAAATCTCCTTCCTGCAAAGCTTTGATGTGCCCTTTTGATAGATCCATGTAGTTCTTTTATGGACAAAACACACAAATATTAACAAAGAGATAATTATGGACATATCAGAATTCTAATCATGCCAGTAATATTTTATTGGCGTTTTGTTTTAGTGTCAAACAAAAGCAGTACAGAAGCACAATCAAAACATCTAGAACTTTGCTCACCCTGGCCGAATAGCATAAGTTAATCAACAAAAATACAGAAGTTTAGATAAAAAATATATAAATCATATGCCACCATTAGGCAAAATAAAATTATTTATATTTAGTTTAATACAGGGTTTCCCAGACTGTGGTCTGTGAAGGAACTGCATGTCCATGACTTGATGAAAAGCTAATAATTAATTCAATAAAAATGTAAAATTAAAATAATTGTAGAATAAAAACAAATCCAAATAAAACACATACTATAAAAGATGAAATATTTTATGTTTGCCTGCACGTCATGTGAGCATTAATCATTATCAGGGATCTTTGAACATGCAAATGCGTCGTGTAACTTAAAATCTCAGTGACATTTCCAGTAAACATTTGAGGTCAAAGGTTTTTTTCTGACAAAAAAAGTTTGGGAATCCCTTAATTTATACAGTTTTCATTAAAAGAGTGGAAGTGTTATAAGGAATATGTGTGTATGCTTATCACATGACTAAATAGTCTAGACTTTAGTGATTGAACTGGGAAAACTGTTAGCTGCAAGTCTGAGTCCACCTGAAATAAAGGTGGTAAGAGTCCACCACAGGCACCAGAGCTGCAGAGCACCTTAAAGTCAGCTTGGAATTTCTATGACAACTGCTATCCCAATATTCATGTTTTTAAAGGGGCAGTTACTGATGGGTCACAATGGTGATTAGTCATCCACCAACCAGCTAGCTGATTAGTGAGATCGACTATTTATCTAGAATTATTTTGTAAATGCTGTGCTTCATTCAACAAAAGAACGTTTTCTGGGATCTATCTCTACTGTGGCCCAACATACCACGAGGAACTGGATCTCATCCAGTAGTTTGCCATTGTTGGTGTTGCTGATCTGGATGAGATGGTTGCTCTGGGAAATCTGGTCCATCTGCTCCTTCACGCTCTGTAGCATCTCCTCATAACTGAGCAACTTCCCCTCGATGTTGTCTACCTCTGCCAGAGCTTGATCCAGCAGCTGCATCAGGATGTTCACCTGCTTCTCGGAGGCCATGATGGACTGGATGTTAGCCTAAACAGAGAAGAACAGACATTACGATTCATGATAACAAAAATAAGCCTTGTTTTATCTTTGATATGACTGTCAAATAATAATCAGACTACTTGATATTATCAACTGTTCTCTAATCAAACATCAATCCACATTTAACTTGACTGTAATTATTGCACTCAGTTCAATATAGATAAAGTTAATTATAAACTTCTGATGACAGGTGCAATCAATACTTTCCACTACTTCTAAGGCCAGCACACCGGTGTTTTATTTTAGGAAACGATTAAACATACTCACCCCATCTAGGACCTGTAGCTCACGGGACAGTTTCTCAGCAAAGGCCTCTGCATTGGAAATGGCGTACTCGCAGACCGCCATCATGCTCTCAATGTCCTGCTCCTCACGGGCGTTCAGCTCCTGGTAATCATCCAGAGCATCCTCATCTCCCCCTGCAACACTCTGACTCTCTCCACTCGGGACCGACTCTGAGAAGAAGGAAAGGCACATGAAAATAGTGTTCTTATTAACCTCAAATGTATAGTACTTTATATGCAACCATTCAAAAGTCTGTTGTCAGCAAGATGTTTTTTTTTTTAAGAAACTGCATGTTATATGACAGTAAGGAATTTTATAATTCAAATAAATGCTGTTCTTTTGTGTTTTGGAAAGGTAGCTTTGCCATTACATGAATAAATTACGTTTAAATATATAATAATAGAAAACTTGTAAGATTATAATAGAATGGCATTACATTATAATAGAAAGATTGTACTTTTTTCACAATATTACTATTTTTTCTGTATTTTTAATTAAATAAACGCAGCCTTGGTGAGTCTAAGAGTCTTCTTTCAAAAAAAAAAAAAACCCAAATTTTGAATGGTAGTTTATGTGTGCATATGAGTATATGAACTAAACTACTCCATGAATGCAATGTAAGTAACACATGTACACAAACACAATCTAGAGAGTGAGCAGTGGGTAAATGTTCCCAGATAACTGTATATGTGATTAAGCAAATTAATTAATGGGAAGAAAGAAAGACAATTAATGAAGCGGAAACAATAGCAGCAGGTGGAAACTGGAGAAGGATGAAAGATGGAAGAAAAAACAGCTTACAAACCTTCAGCTTTAGGAAGCTCTGGCCAGTGAGAGATTTAGAGAGAACAGCACAGATCATGTTAAAGCATTAAGGGACACTCAAAAAGACACATTACAGAATCCCAAAGAGCTCAGAAAGAGACAGAGAAGAGCAGTAGCCACAGGAAAACAGACACTAGTTTGAGTTCCTACCACTGCAAATGTAATAGTTCTACATAGTTCTATCACATGGCTGTGAGGTAATTAAATATTAGAAACACATTGGTAGTTTAACAACATGCTATTACTCTCCCACTCCACTAGGAGCAGCAGTGAGCCACACCTTCCAGCAGCTGTGGACTGACGTTTACAAACTCCACTTTCTTCCGAAGGTAGCGCTGGTTCAGCTTCCAGATACACGAGATAAAAGAATTCTTCTCTGCAGTGCTGCTCGCCACCCACCGATAAACCTTCTCAAAATGGAGGTCAAACTCTGGGTTCTCCTGAAGGATGGAGAAGTAGAGGATTTGCTCAGTAAATTCAGGCCGATACCAAGTCGATAATTATTATCATGTTACCCCCAAATATCTGTCGGAATCATTTAAATACAAAACAATAAAAAGTTAATTCAATCACTTTAAGTGCTATATGAGAATTTAGGCGTAACAACTTTATCATGTGCAGTATTAAAAATGTATTTAATTTTTTTGCTAAAGATTACATTGAACATTGTTATTAAATTATTACGTTTTTAAAGATTAATTTTAAGTGAGTGTTCGGCAAAGGTAATCTAACATTTAATTAAAATTATTTAAAAAAATAAATATCCAACTGGTGTTATTACTGGAAACTAAACTAAAATAAAAATGTCTTTGTTAAATAAAATAAAGTATAAATATTACATGAAAAACTTAAACTTAAAAAAATGAAAATTAGAAATGTTGCATTGGCAACTAACTGAAATAAAATAAGTTTATGTTGAAGTACTAAAATTACTAAATTAAAACTTAAATTTTAAGTTTTATAATTAAGTTAATAAAGTAAAGCTAAATATAAATATAAAAATAAAAACGACAAAAGTACATAAACTTGCAAAAACTGAACTAAACTTCAAATAAAATAAAAACTAAAATATAAAAACTGAAAGTTAATTCAAAATATAGGACAAAAGAACATATTAATGAATATTAATAAATATATACTTTCATAGTATATAAATATTTCTAAAATAACACTGTATACAATATCATCCAATAAGAAATCTGGTACAGGTATATTATGTATCCATAATATTTAGTAATAGATATTTTATTACTGATATTTATTTCCTGTCTGAATTGATATAATGTTTCACATATGAACTCTGACCTTATTGGCATCTTTGGCATCAACCTCTGTCAGGTCCCGTAGTTCCCATGCCATCTGTCTCTTATAGAAATCTCCTTTATCTGTTTTTTTCACTTTCACCACCTTCACCTGCACTGGGCGCTCTGTAGTTACTAATGATAATAAACAGAATTGACAGAGAAACAATAAAAGAATGTTTGCAGACGTTCTCTGACATGGATCTGTGTCTGTGCTCTACCTGTGGCACACAAGAAACAGTTCTTCTTCTTTTTCCCTGCCTTGCAGACATTGACGATGCTCAGCAGACGCTCATCATTGGGGGTGAAAATATCCCTCTGAAGGGCATGCTTGATGGCAGTCATGTTTATTTCTGAAATTAAAAGCACAACAGGCTCATGGGAATCAGCAAACAATATTTTCATTAAACAAATGTAAGCTGAAAGGGCCTTCTGCTGGTTGATGCTGTGTGCTAGTCATTCAGAAGTATATTCTTTTGAATGCAACATATTATAAAATGTCAATATATTATAGGAGATACTTCATCTGTCGTCTGTCAGTGTACAACAATAATCAAGTGTATACAATAAGACATTACAAACTTGGCTGAAGCATTACATGCAGGCAAACAAAGGTGTTTACTAAAATTAAAAGATCAAATTCATTCAATTTTATTGACAACCTAAAGGAACATTTGTCCTTCATTCACAGAGGTGTTCTACACACTACCATGGTGATTCCATGTAAACACCACAGCATATGAATATGACAATTATTCATTACCATGATATACATCCATCAGAATATTATGTGAATACCGTCAGTTGCACAGTACAGCCAAAATTATTTTCTTAAATGGAGAGTTGTGATTTTCGTGACGATTCTTTAAATCTTAGATTATATAACAATGTATATCGATTTAGATGCCTTTATTGTTATAGTAACAAATGTTTTATGAAAAGGTCAGCCTGACAACAGTAAACAGCGCAGTGGCCTTTTCGGGAAGCTAATAAACTGCGACCACTTGTCGAATCTTACCGTACGTTTATCCAAATTGAGCAACGAAAATGCCTTCTTTAACGCTTTAACTTGTATTTGTAAAAAACAAAAGCTTTTTTTCTGAATATCACATCAGTTGTCAGGGATCCAGCCCCGAGAGCAGTGTGAACACAAAAACTGTAATGAGAGAAGAAAACAAACTTCCTGTTTCCGGTTAGTGTTTCTACAGTAAAAGTCCCTTCATTCTATGTTGTGCATTACAGAACAAACGCAAGCCATGCTTTATTTGACACTGATTTTAATTCAATAGATCTTGTGTGCATATAAAGATGACGTGAACTGATGATTAATAATATATCAGAGCTCTAAGCTTGTATCATCCATACAGTTTAACAGCTCTATCCTTATCTCGGAAGATAACCCCCCCTCATGGCCCATGTGGGTCAAAAATGCAAACTGTGAAAAGGGAAATAATTTTTCTTTGGATGGTAATAGTAAAAGGAAATCAAAGAGCAAAAATAAAGCTTTTCTTTACAGTATATTTAAAATTTGTTTTATGATAATTTGTTCACTATGTGAAAGTATAATTGGCTTTGACAATTACTGACTGAGAACTACAGAAAATATATATATAGATTGTCTTATCAGTCCCCTGATAACACTTATAAAAACAAGATCACCTTTTGCTGATTTTCACTCTGCTTAACAGCCTCTCAAGATGAAGTCAGAACTTCTGCTGGTGTTGACCTTGTTTCTCTGTGTGAGCGGTAAACCCCTGTCCAAGAGGAGGATGTATAATAAGTTGCTGCTGATCTCCTTTGATGGTTTCAGGTGGGATTATGACCAAGATGTGGACACACCAAATCTAGACAAACTAGTTAAAGAGGGAGTGAAGGCAAAATATATCAATCCCCCAGCGATCACCATGACATCTCCATCACACTTTACAACTATTACTGGTAAGGCTAACTTTCTGCTTATTTATATCTTATTGACTTAAGTGTTGAATACACACTTACAGAAGTGATAGCACAAAAAGAACAGAGCAGAAGCCTAATTCATACAAACATTAAAGTAGTAGCTATAATTTTGTAATGCATACTGAATATTAGATCGGTGGTTGATTTAAACCTCACATATGATTTGGTCGGTCAGTGAATTGGGTATAATTGCAAATAGCCAAATAGCAAGATTGTTATGAATTTGAATAATATTAATAATTTAATGAATAAAAATTATATTTAAAAATAGGCATTGAATACATAAATATTTAAAATAAATATATAAAGAAAATAGGTTATTAAAGAATATATATATATATATATATGATTTAATAGCATAGTTTTGTAAATTTTTATTAATATATATATATTATTGTACATTTTAATAACATTTTATATTATTAAATATAATTTTGCAGAAATAAATGCATAAATTCATGCATCTGCTTCACCATAGTTTACATATTCTTGTCCAGTCTGCATTATCATGATGTTCAAAGTCTTAAGCTGTCTTCTGAGAGCTGCTGAGCACACACTTACTGGGCCAATTACCCCAGCCTCGTTAAATAACATGTGTCAAGTTAGCACGAGCTCCAACTTCAAGGTTATTTACACAATCAGTGTTCCTTGTTCATAAAACTTGCTCAATGGTAATTTTACAGTTCTTGACATTATGTGTATTGGTCATGCTTAAGAGTATTAAGAAATGTGGGTCTACATACACACTGCGATCAAAAGTAATCTTTGGAATGCACTATTTGCCCCCCCCCCCCCGCCAAAAAAAACCTATTGGTTGATCTAACTGAATATAATTTTCAACAGTTAAATATATATCGATGTGATTCTATCTTAAACTTTTCTTCAGGGAGATGGATAGAGGATCATGGTGTTGTCCATAACCTGATGTTTAATGATACAACTGGCTTGAGAGTTCCCCACAAGGCAACATTGAAAAGATCAGAATGGTGGGATAATGGTGCATTGCCCCTGTGGATAACAGCCCAGAATCAGGTGAACTTACTCCTCTGACAAGCTTTTTGTGAGCAGATTTTAACAGTAAAAGACTTGAGATTAAAATGAAGCATCTTATAATTTACAGTGAAAAACTGTAAAATTGACATTCACAGACACTTCACATTTGATGATTTTGAAATAATCTATTGTTTGTTTGTTTTTCTTATCATTTATGCATATGAGGGTTTTATGTTATGCCTTATGTTGTTAAATTAATATTTATTGCATTGTTTTAGTGTTATGGTTTTTACCATGATGGTGTTTTTGTATTTGTGTGCACCTTATATGCACACAAAAGCTACTTGTGATTAAAGTGAAGTCACGTGATGTGTAGCCACCTGTGTGTTTTGCTGGTTATCAGTGTGTTACAAAGAGATTTTAAGTGAAGTTTTTTTCACTGTAATGTTCTGGCAACCACAGCTATCCATTTTTACCATAAATTTCACAGATTTTATTTTACAGTGTATGTAAATATGTCCTGTAAAATCATCCCTCACTGTAAATTTATTAACAAATAATGCAATAACGTCTCCTATATGTTTCAAAGGGCCTGAAAACAGCCTCTTTTTTCTATCCTGGTGGAGGAGTAAATTACAGTGGCCAAGCTGTGGATCGTTCCCTGGTGGCAGATCACGAGCATCCTGATGACAATGAGACAGAGTGGCGGCAGAACATCGACACTGTGATGGGATGGTTCACCAAAGAGGACTTTGACTTTGTTACGCTTTACTATGGAGAACCAGACAACGTGGGTCATGCTTTCGGCCCCGAAACCCCAGAGAGAATAAAGATCATTGAACAGATTGACCACACTATTGGCTACCTCAGGGAGGCAATTCACAAAAATGGTTTGACTGATCATCTTAACGTCATCCTGACCTCAGACCATGGCATGACCACTGTTAAAATAGCCAGTGAGGTTAATGAGATAAAACTTAGCAATTACATGAGTTTATTAAATCTAGCCCGATTTGACCTGCTCGACTACGGTGGGTTTGGGATGATCACACCTAGGGAGGGCAGAGAACAGGAAGTTTATGATGCCCTGAAGAACGCACATCCCAATCTGACAGTCTATAAGAAAGAAGAGATTCCAGAACACTTTCACATTCGCAAACATGAGAGAATTCAACCGATTGTCCTTCTGGCTGACCTGGGGTTCAATATCAACTCTGTAAGTGTCTTTGGAAAAAAATATCACTCATTTTAGCCAGCTGTTTGAAAGCCCAATTAATGAAATATTGTAGTCAAAAATGCTAATTATGTCATACTAGCTTCACATTGTTTAGTCAGTTTTTATCTACAGTTTGTATCAGTAAAATATTAATTAATACAAATATGTAAATATACACTAACATTCAAAAGTCTGAGGTTCGTGACATTTTGAAAAAGTAATATTGTGAAAAAAATGATTTAATTTAAAATAACTGCTTTCTATTTTAATATATTTTAAAATGTTATCTATTCATGTGAGGCAAAGCTGAATTTTTAGCAGCCTTTTCTCCAGTCTTCAGTGTCACATGATCCTTCAGAAATTATTCTAATATGCTGATTTGGTTCTCAAGAAACATTTGTTATTATTATCAATGTTGAAGTAAAGTGCTTGAAAGTTATGTTTAGAGGTAGAGTCTGTCGTCTACTCTAACATTTTGTTTGCTATTTGTGCAGAGGATCATTTTGCATATCAACAAAGGAGATCATGGATTCAGGAATGAGGAAATGGATATGAAAATGATCTTTCGAGCCTTTGGGCCAGACTTTAGGGACAATTTCTTGGCTGAGCCATTTGATAGTGTCAGCATCTATCCGTTGATGTGTAAGCTGTTGGGTGCAGTTCCAGAAGCAAACAATGGAAGTCTCAGTGACACCAAAGGCGTGCTAGTGGATAACTTTGATGCTGGTAAGCAGTTGAATTGTCTCTCAGAAGGGGCTTCATTGAAAAATGGCCTCTTCCATCAGTCTAACCATTTATTTTTTTCTTACCTGTGTGAATTTTAAGAAAATGTCATAACCAATTAATGACATTAATGGTTCTTTTTTGCAGGTGGGAGCAGTGGAAGAATCAAGGTGTCTTTTAGCCTTCTGGTACTTATGATTATCTTAACCTTAATTTAAAGAGATTTGCCAAAACTACTAGTTCATAGCAATCAGCAAACCCAGAATACATTTAAACTACTATAAATCACAAATGACTATTAAACAGAGTATTGCTTTGTATCTTCTTCCAGTGCTGATGATAATTGAACTTGTTTTTCATAATTATTATATCAAGTAAAATAATACAAGTTTATACTGGAAGTTTGTTTTTATAGTGCACACATTTATGAAATATAGCAAATATCAAGCATGGTCGCAATAGTCAACAAAGTGTGAAAAATGTGATGAAATTGGCTATGTGTTGAAAATGTATTTGTTGTGATTTTCTAAACTTCAGATTTTATTTACATGCGAGTTTTTATAAAAATCCCTTAATCCTACATATTCCACTCCTCTTTAAGTGCATTCAAAACATAAATAAACATTCGTTTACGTTTAGAGTACAGGAAAAAAAAACAGGATCAATATTGTACACAATATAATACACAAAGGTCAACATATATATTTCTATGCATTATATACATTTCATGCACAAGAAATATTTAGTTTAAATTATCCATAGATAGATGAGGGGAATTGTAGTTTGTGTTCTTAAGTACATATTATGTGAATTACATAAACACATGTAAAAAAAAAAAAAATTTCAATCTCACTGAAGGCAATCAAAATTTGTTCGGGTACTTTGATCAAAATCAAACTGAAAGGGTGTACGCTTCTAGGAAAGCTCAGAAATTAGCTCAGCAAACCTTTTTTACATGTGTTGTCATATTTATCATGTGTCATATATTCATATATAAAAAATATATACCAAAGGAAAGTTCTTATAAAATTTTGGTAAAAATTAAAAGGCATTTTATAATTTCAAACATCCCAACTGCCCTTAACTGGGATGCACAAGTTGCACATTTTTGGTACAAACTGGTACTAAAGAAGAGTACTAAAAGAGTCATGTACTTGCTCAATGCCAGTCCTCATCCTGCTCATCATCCAGCTCTACTGAGCTTTCCTCAGCTCCACTACTCTCTTCTTGCCCTCCTTTTTGTGCCTCCTTCCTCCTTGCTGCCTCGAGCATCTCCTGCCT